TTTTTCTGTTTTATTAGCTCTTATTTATAAATTTAAATAATTGAAAATAAGGGGTTGAATTGTCTCTTGACTCTGTTCAACCGTAATACCTTATCACGTGAAAATTGAATTTCTGAAGTGCGATCCTCCTATATAAGATCTGGCAAAATGGCAACACGATTAGCGGTTGACAGTTTTTTATGCAATGTCATGTTTTTTGTTTGGTGTGTTAGCCTTTTTGGTTAATGTAACAAACAAAGACATGCAAAATGCTTATACTAAAAGAAAAATAGAAGTTCAGTAACGAATTTAAATAAGACAAAAATGTTAGCCGACCAAGTAAAACAACGCTATAAGTTCAGTAACTAACAGTGTTTCTTTTAACCCACAGAAAATTCATGTTGTTTTCATAGATAAGAGGTGGTGGTCTAATGGTCTATTATTTTAGTTTTAATCTTTCACTAAAGCAATAACCTTCTACTGCCCAAAAAAGTTCTCGGTCAGCATCATTATTTGAAGTTAGATCCAACAGATTTGCAATTCCATTGTGGAAACAAAAAAGACAGCATCCAATTGTATATCCTAGATAACAAAAAATGCTATATACCTCATACTTTTGCCGGATGAAGTTGCTTCAAAGCCAGGCAAAAATGTAGAACTGCCAATTGTCGAAGCTGGAGAAATGAGAGGTCACAAAGAACTTAACAAGGCAAGAAACTCTTCAGGTTCTTCATTTTCCTTGATAATCTGTTTATTAATTTCAGTCAAATGCTACAGTTTCTTACAGTGTTTAAAAAAGCTAAGAGAACAAAAGTAAATAGACAATAAGCACATGCATATACAAACTGGAAACAAGCAAAACACAAAATCATTCTCCTTAGAATCTCTCTTGGTCATCATGCATCTAAACCCCTAGCCAAAATTGGTAAAATGGGAGGAAGTCGAGAAACAAATAACATGAAAAGTTATCTATACCTCGATTTTGATGTCCTCCGGCAATCCCATTTGAGAAAGCACATCAGAACTAGCTCTTATCCAATCAATCTCTTCTAGACTATCCGAACTGTTCTGGCTACCTAATGTCATTTCTGTTCCATCACAACTGAAAGATCTTCCCACCCATACATATAGAATGCTATCCTCAACTTTGCCAGAACCTGAATTCGGAGTAATAAGAAGGAATACAGATTTGGAATCCAACCCATAAGTACCAACACTTACAAGCCTTTCCAAGCTAGGCCATCGACATACTACTGGTTTCATTGAGTTAGAAGATGATGAGATACCGTCTATCATTATGTCCAATAGACCTGCCTCCTTTTCTCCCAAAGGACGCTCGCACAGTTTGTTGGAATGTTTCAACAAACTAACTTTCTCGTGGCATGAATTTACAGTAGCACCCCCACCTGAAGATAACAGCAGTCCGTTCACTATATTTTCCCTTCTCTCCCCCTCATGCTGCATGGCTTCTTCCCTATTATGTAATTCATTTAATGAAAAAGCATCACCATTAGCACTGACGACATCGTATTCATTGATGAGACCACTTGAAGGAGCATCTTTTTCTTGAGAATTATCAGCCTGCAGGGGCAGCTTAAGACACTTTGATAAGCTACCTCTCCGCTCGGCAATGGAAAGGGGTAACTTTTTAGATGGTGAAGAACCAGCATGTGAAAAAGGCTGTGACTTAAAATTGACATCGATATACTTTGAACTTTTAGATACAGAGTGAGGAGAAAATTTGGATGAGTGCAGGGATATGTTAGAGAAGCTAGACAGACATGCAGATGTTACATTATTACATGACAAAGCCAAAGGGGATGTAGCAGGGGAATCCAAAAAATATGTTGAGCTATTGCTTGAATCAGGAGAAATAGAGTCTGGAGAGAAATAATGAGGTGAAGAAAATGAAGGTGATGAAGACAAAGACATTGACGAAGGTGATGACGATGAAAAGGATAGTGACTTTGACGACAACAAAGAATTTGCAGAAGATTGTATCTGTTTAGCTGCACAATGACTATCAAAAATGGAAGGGGAATCAGGGTAGATTCTGGAGATACCTGACTTAGAAGCAGAAACAAACTCCTCCATATTACCGGAAACAAACTTACACCTTAGCACGCTCCAACAGCTTTCTCTCACAGGAAGGTGCGTTTCGTGTTCGGCTTCAGAAGAGGCAGAAGGCGGAACAAATCCACCAATTGTTGCTTTTCGAAATATCTCAAATTCGACATCATATGAGTCCACTAGCCTCTCCCGCGTTGGAATTTTAGTTGTCGAGCCAGCAATACATACTCCATTGCTAGATGTGTCCATCAACGGCAGCAGGTTAGAGAAAGCATCCCAGAAGTATGAAGGCTCCTGACCTTCCTTAATAACTACTATTGGACACTGAACTTTTTCATACCGAACAATTTGGCAAACAGCTCCTCGGGCATCCCTTTCCATAATTGCTTCACAACTCTTGCCAATCCAAACATAAATTGTAGAAGGAGCATGTATAATAAACGCACCTCTAGAATCCAAAGCAGATGTCGAAGGGTCGTTTAGCATTTTAGGAACCAGATGCAGAGGATCGTAAGGTGAGTGTGGAGCCATCCTATACATCCTTAGTAAAGAACTGGGGCTCAAAGGGAAAGCATGAACCCTTTTTTGGCACTGCAATAACTGGCATGCGAAACCCATATTTGGATCAGCAATTCCTCTAGCAGCCTTCACATATCGAAATGCATCATCAAAGCTTTGCCCTTCTCGCCACATTAGATAAGCAATCACCAATGATGTAGATCGAGAGACACCCTGACAACAATGAACAAAAACCCTTCCACCCTGTTCTCTAACATATTCAAAATAGTCAAAAACATCATACAGTATGCTGGTAATATCCTCAGAAGGGTTATCCTGCAACCATAATGTCTTATACACAAAATCAGCCTTGAAATACTCCGGGCATACAAATCCCACACAATTTAGAATATGAGTAATGCCATGCTGCTTAAGTATCTCCCTATCCCTTGCAACAGCATCGCCGCCAAGATAAATGTGTTCAGCCACCTTCGAACACTCCTTGTCAAAGAAAGCAATCTTTTCTCTCTTCACAAGCCCACATACATTGCTATCAGGGTTTTTCTGTATATTTGACAAATCAAGTTTCAACCTCTCCCCACAACCAGTTGAGCTCCTCCCACCAGGTGTAGTAATAAGCGGCCACTCACCAATATCATCAGACCCTGCTTTTGGCCACTCATCTAAGCTCCTACGAGCAATTGCCAATGGAGGCAGACACGACCTGCCCTTAAAGCTGTGTTGGGTTCTAGGGGTTAATGGAGGAGGAATGCGCTGACCCACCCCACAATTACTGTTATTGTTGCCAATAAGATTTAAGCCATCTTTATTATCAGTGTCTGGGTTAATCGGGGGCAGTGAAGTCCGCGAAGATGACCATGATGCAGACCGCCAATAAAATTTCCTGCCACCAGAAACTTGGCACGGCCCTTGAGAACTTTCGCTATTATCAGCAGTAGCACCAGTAGATTCCTCCTTTTCTAACATCCCCAAATTGCCCACAAAATTCCGACAATCTAAAACCCTAATCTTCTCGTATTAGGACTAACATCAACCCTTTACCGGAATAAAAAAGAATCGCTAAACAAATCAGACCCTAAATTCTCGGTTCCTCGGATTTTCCTTTTCACTTGCAAAACAAAACAACCAACTCTCAATTAGACCTCGCGACTAAATCACGTACTAGAAATCTAAGATTTGGTAAAAGAAAACACCCCTAACACTAAAATATATACAGTGTAACAAAAGTAAGATCTAGCGAATACACTTCCATACTGTATTAAAATAAATAAATAAATTAGTCTTTTAGATTTCTGCGGCACATAAGTCAATATCACATATGTATAAACGTTTGTGTTTACACATACATAACTTCACGTTAAAACACTCAAAGAAAAGTAGGAAAGTACATACATGTTCTATGTATAGATTCGAAAGTCACCAAGAAACTCCCTGTTTGGGGAAGGGGGATTCTGGAAGAGAAGAAACTGTAGAGAAGGATGAGAGTGACGAGAGAAAAGCGGCCGACTTTTTTTTATTATTATTTTTTTCCTTAATCGAATTTTAGCATTACTTCGGGAGATGAAGGGAAGGGGATGGGTGTTTCTGATGCTAAGTGGTTAGTTAGTTTTCCCATTTTGTAGGTCACTAGTCATGTGAATTGTCGTCCTTCATTAAAGTGGGTGTTTCAGATTTTCATCCCTTATTTCCTCTATTCTCCTACTTTTTCTTTTGACTTTTTTTTTTTTTTTTAGTTTTTTCTTTTTCGATTTTTCGATTTTCCTTTTTCCCTTTTTTACACAAAAGGGGCCTGAGCGTCTAGACCGATTCATTTAAAAAAATTAAATAAATTTGAAATTTATTTTTTTTATGATCATGGATGTCCTAATCAACTCGCGTGCATTTCGACTAATTCTACGAGGTCCTGAAATTTATAATCGGGTACTTATCTCAATGACCTTTAGGAGACTCGAACTAATGACTATTAGGGAGCAAATTCAAAAAATTTATTTTTAATCACGTGTTCTTTTAAACAAATCATTTTACACGTTGATTAATGACTATTGATTAGTTTTGATAAAAAGATAAATTTATAATATATTCTAATAAAACTTGACTAAATATATAGTTGAAAAATTGATAAAAATTTTGAATCTCATAATATATATGATTGAAAATTAATTTTAGAAAAGGTGAATTCTCAAAAACGAGGTCAAAGAAGGACCTACTTTTAATCACATTATCTCAAAAAATTAATTTTTCATTTCAAATTATTTCTCCCAACATAGACTAGCTATAAATGAATCATGCTTCAAGTACAGGAAAAAAAAAACTTTGACAAACAATACATGGCAGGAATTGATTGAAAGATGGAAAAAGAATAAAGAAATCAATCCAATCATCTGCGACCATGTCAGTGTAGATAAAAATTCTGTCAAAAATTCCTTGTACTCATGGCTTTTTCCTAACTAAAAACATACTCCACGTTGTAATAAGATATTATTTTTTTAAGTCTTGTCCTAAGGAACTTGTCTCCTCATAGTAATAATTATTTATATATTGTAAAAAAATATATATGCCATATTATATTAATGGCTTGAAATGAAATAAAAATATTTGTCTGAGGTTATTTGGGATGATAATATATTCTTTGAAGTTGTTACCACATCTTTGAATTGTGTGCATGTAATAACTCATGACTCCATCAGCATGAGTGGCTTGGTTTATTTGTTAGATGAAGAAGGAAGTGCATCACTTGAATTAGTTGAAGATTGCAAGAATTATATTAGACATATACATATAATTATAAAATTTAGTATCCACTTATTATTCACTCATCCCCATAAAAGACATTTTCAAAAAAAGCCTCTAAGGTAAATGTGATAGATTACAGGATCATGGGCTTGGTACACTTCATTACTTTAAGCCTACTTAAGCCCATTAGGTTTTGAGAAATGCTACAAAAATAGGGTAAAAAACATACTTAAGAGGAGGGGGGGGGGGGGGAACAT